ATAACACGTTTTTCATATGAATATTTTACATGATGTTTATCCGATTGGTCACAACATTTTTCTTGATAGATTAAATTCCGTTATATGACTAGAAAGAAACAAAAAAATATTTTATCGAAAATAGAACAAATAGTGAATCGAGGTATAATTAAATAAATAAAATCTATCTAAATTCATCATCTTAATATTCATTTATAGTGCTGACTAAAAGTTCTAATTAAATTGTAGACTATTTGATAAACCAGTTAATGTGAAAGAATTTGTTGTATGAGTAACTATTAGGATATTTTGTCTATAGTACCATATCATACTAATAAAAAATATGTAAAGTAAAAAAAACTATAGCATATTATAGTTATTTTCCAACATAATCGATCGGCAGAAAAAAATAATAATTTGTCTTTTTAATTTTTGCATTTCGAACAAAATTTATTTCTTTAGTGACATTCTATTTTTTTATTGCTATTCCTATTTTTTGCATTCCTTTTTTTCTTAATTTAACTATATTACCATTCTAATCATTGATTGAACATGTAAATAAGTCTGCTATACATATACATTATATCTACAGACAAGTATTAACGAACTATGATACATCTTGATCTACTCACAAACACTGATATTGAGTTTCTTTTTTTCAAATTAACAATTTAATCAATTTATTCTGTTTATGATGATTATATTACGATTGTGGCAAATCAATGCATCATTATTCATCATCGTTAATATCTTGAATATAATTTTTATCTGCATAAAAATCAAAAGCTGCACTATTGATAACATTAGCAAACGTATTCTAGCAATTCAAATTTTGACAAGGATTTTGAAATGTTCTAGAGCAGTCAAAATTTTGCCACTTGTATCGTGGTGTGCAAGTTTTTTGTTACTATTGAACACAGAACAAGAACTCCGATGCCTGTTTTCTGTGGTTGCTAAGGTCTGTAATGGAAGATAGGAGGATGAGAAAAGTCAGAAAACTTCGACTTAAAACTTACATTCATTATTTTCTTCGACAATATATGTGAGTTTCACAAAATGTATAATGAACTCGATTGACGCTATAATAAAACTGGATCTGTTTTGGAAGTAGATGCAAAGATAATCGATGAAGAACTTACAATAGCGTCGGCATTAAACCCTGTAACATATCCAATAGTTACAAGGTAGGTAAAACATTGTTATAAGGGTGAGTGTAAGTCCTGATCTTATCTTTACCCATATCCTATGGTAATTTACCAAAAAAAAAACACGTTAAATACGTAAGCTGATATATATATATAATACTACTCAGAATTTGTCATACAATGTTATTGACCGTATATATGATGGGTATCTTTCTAAGTTTCATTCGTCTGAAGAGAACAACCCAGCTAAAATCAGTTGAATATTGAATATACTTTCTAATCAGATGAAAATGATGGATCAAAATAATTCCAATATTGAGAATGTATGTCTAATAAATCTTTGTTTTGATTATGAATAAGTGAGAAATAATAGTTTTCATTACAATAGAATTGTTAGTTTGTTTTTCTTCGTTCTACGTTCGTAAATTACGAGGAAAGGCCTAATATTGAAAACAAAAAAACAATACAATGAAGCTTGGAAAGATATAAAGAAGCGCTGTTTGTTAATCATCATCATGTGATATGTAGAAAGGATAAAGAAAAAAAATATATAAAAGAAAGCCGATTTTTTCATATTTTCTGCATAGCAAAAACGATGTTTCGTTCTGCTCTTCCATGAGAATTTAGCAGTTATTAGGACGGAAAAGGAAATATAGACCGAAGTAAATATCAGCGAAAAAGAACGAGTAGCATAGATAAAGACATGTTAGATGTAAGGGAAAGAAAAACAGAGAAGCTGGATGCCTGTATATTAACTCTATTGTTTATTGGTTAACATGTATATGGGATAGCGTCTTTCTTGGTCAATTATAGATAGGATAAATCTGTGTTTGTAGAATGATCTGTTTTTATCTCGTTTTATTGGCTTGAGTATATAAATGCCCATGCAGTCAAATAAACGTCAGAATAATGTTGTCATAGTGTCTCGGCTGAGAAAACAGGAAAAACATGACTTATAACTCGTTTAATTCATGTATGAATATATGTCAAGCATAAAAGTATGTTTTTCGATGACAGCACGCGATAATATATTGTCTAGATAAATTAGATGTCGAAGTCCATTTTTAATAGAAAGAAAAGTTTGTTTTGATTAGTTTATGTAAAAAACAGAGAAAATATCTATGCTAACTCGTTGAAAGTATCAACAGAGCTGGAATCATTTAATCATTAGATCGATGCAAAAATTTCCTTTTTTTTTAATTTTGAGATGTAGATGTGTGTATGGATATTGATCTTCTCTTTATCCATATCCACTCCTGTCTCAATCCATACCCACATTCCATACACAGCGATATTCATCCTGACACATGTCCTTTCAGAACTTCAGATGGTTTACAAGCGTGTTCGATGGCATACACATGAACATGCTCAAAAAACGTAGAGTTATGGACATTCACAGGCCTATGTATATTCCATAGAAAAACATTGTACGTGTTGACGCTAAAAAGAATCAGATATCCTAGTGTTCACATGATCATTGCTTTCCACACGCATGTTCGGCAAGTCTTATTTGCTTGGTTACAGTGTCTGCCATGGTATCTGATGTTTTGATTTGCTGTTTGTCACGGTATAATGGTGGGGAGGATAGTACTGAGAGTCAAAAATCGCTTAATATTTAGTCATCATTTTACTTGTTTCATTTAATCTATGAATCGCTAAAAAACAATGCACTTGGTCTAACGAACAGGTTCTTCACACGTGTGATATCAACGAAAGAAAAGAAACAAAATTGATTGTGCAGTCAATTAAAATACGAGCAAATGTAAGTCACGTTTTACCTTGTGCTGCAATATCATTGTGTCATACAGAAAAGACAAAAATGAATAAAAATCCGAACTCCCAGATGTGAACTGGGGATCTTTACGTTACTATGATTTATCACATTACAACCTACCGCTCTGCCAGTTGAGCTAAGTTTGAATATTGAAATAGAATGTAATAGCACACAATATTTCAAATTTATACTACAAATACTACCATCGAAAAGAGACTGCGTAGTGTAAAAATCGTTAATTCGTTACGAATTGTAAACTTCTCTTCAAGTTTTGAACTAAAATTTACAAACCGAGTACTCGAATTGGAAACGATTATGCTATTCAAATCTTGAAATGTTAGACTTTATGCTTTGAATATTCCATATCGAAACAGTGACGCAAAACATCTGTTGCGGATGCTGAGGACACTTGCCGGACATTCAGAAGAATTTCATGGGATCGTCAGAGACCTCTAGGAATTGTGTATACGTATGAATGTAAGTGTAGTTTGTATATTCGAATTTTAAAACAATCTATGAGTAAATAAGTCATTTTCTTTGAGAATTGGTTAAGTCAAGACTATAGAATGTTTTCAAATTTAATTTCGTGTTCGAAACAAATGTAGAAGACATCGTATATGGTAAACATATGTTAAAAGCATTTAAACAAAGTTATGTAAAGCTGGATCAATGTACTTGACTGAATTGTATTGTTATATTTACAACTGAGAGTCAAAACTAACAGGTGTCCCACAAATAATAAGCCTATCTCTCTTGATATTCATTTGTTCAAGCTTAATTTTTTCAAAACATGGGTCTTTTTATGTTCTATAAAATAATGTTTTTTTTTATCCATATGTATAATAACGTTCATCATTTTCTAAAACATGCTTTAAACGAACAGTTCAAGGTGAACAACTTCATATGATGTTCTATATGGTTTTCCGAGAAATCAGATAAGTTTCCGAAACTGGATGATTTTTCGGAAATTAGATGAATTTCAGAAACATAATGTGGGTCATTAGGAAACTAGGTGAGTTTGCCCTGAGAGTCATTTAGTTATGATGATATTCGGATAAGCGAGAACGAGGATGGAAACATTCAGAGAGCATCTTTCTCTCGTTAAGATGAGGATGAATGCACACGGAGCGCATCGCTTAAGTGTTTAGGCTACAGAAAGGTACCTCGATTTTTCCACTATGTCCGTTATGTTCATTATTTCCATTATGCCTGTCTTCTGAATATTTTTGGAAGATAAACGAGTTTCTTAAAAACTAATAGAATACATCAAATCTACTTAACTGCCTTCCTCATGCCATTATCATATATTTCAAATCAATCAAAAAAAAGAACAGAAGATGGAAGATAAGTTTTACGCGTATGTGTGTATAGATGTGTTGAAGTTAGGTTTGAATGTGAACATAAATGTATTTAGTTTGACAAAGTCAACATCGTTGCTCAAACATAATTTAACTTATCAAAAAATAAAATCAACAACAAAGAAAAAATTAAATTGAATTCAAAAAATCTCAACAGTTTCTATCGAACCATACTCAGATGAAATGCTGTGATTTAGTCCGTTATACTTTTCAAAATTGTTTTCATATATTTCGTATATTTGAAAATGTGTTTGTCAAAACATTTTGTATGTCAGAATACGATATCATAAGGATCGAAAAGTGAATAAATAGGTATCTGAAATAATTCAAAAGCATCTGACTAGTGCTTCAACGATTTGACATCGCCAATGTCGAATTCGTTCAATCCTAGTTTACCGACGACAATATCGTCAGTATCTTGACAGAATGATTTCAGTTGTTGAACATGGGATGTTCGTCCTTTCGAACTTTCTACTTGTACATAGAGTGAATTGGTGTTCATGTTGTTAGGTTTTGAATGAATCTTCGCACGAAAAGCAAGGGTGGTGTGGGTCGTATTTTAATTTATTCTACACCCACCCACACCCACACCCTGCGATAGTGGTATAACACGAAACGAAAATATTGCAAAATGGTTTCATATGAATCTCATCATAGTTACGATGAGTTAAGGTATTGTAAAAGCGTTCCGATTATAATAACAGCATCCGATATTATTTCTTTCAAAGAAGTATTAAGTTTTTTTTACCAAAATTTTGAGTTTATACTTCCAATAGGTGTACTTATACCAACCCCGTCTGTCCCAACATTCAGTCCAAGTCCAAGAACAGTTCCACTAATATTCGTTGTGGATACTTCAACCCCAGTTTTAGCACTCAATCCAATTTTTGCTTGAACATTTTTATGCTCTAAAGTCACAGCATTTATTTCTCCACCAGCCACAACCTTTACTCCATCAGCTCCTACGGATGCTTTCGCATAAGCTTGTCCGTGACCAACGCTAATATCAGCATCTCCTAATTTGTGTTTAGAAAGAGATCCATCTGCTTGAGCATTCGCTTTAAGGCCATCTCTTTCAATGGTTGCACCAGCATTAACTTGGCATGCTAAAAGAGAAGTTGTACCATCAGAATAAACTGAGCCATCTGTCTGTATACGTGCGGTATTATTGAAACCAGAACAAAATTGATCAATTTCTTGATTAACACTATCAGCCAAGAGTCCTGTTACAGCATTTGTTATATTTTCAGTACATGATGCTGTTGGATCGATTTTAATATTCCCCAATGGTGTATCTATACCGACTCCGTCTAATTCAGCATTTAAGTCAACTCCACCAATAGAATAACTTTCATTTAGTGACGATGGGCCGATTGCAGACGTAACGGCATCAGTCAAGTATCCTTTTGCAATATTATTGACATTTTCTAAACATGATGCTGTTGGATCGATTTTAATATTTCCCAATGGTGTATTTATATCAATTCCATGTAATCCAGCATTTATATCAACCCCACCAATAGAATAACTTACATCTGGTGACGAGAGATCAAGTGTAGGCTTAACATAATCAATCAAGTATCCCTTTGCAATATTATTTACATTTTCTAAACATGATGCTGTTGAATTGATTTTAATATTTTCCAATGGTGTATTTATATCAATTCTATCTAATCCAGCATTTAAGTCAACTCCACCAATAGAATTGCTTACATCTGGTGACGATAGGCCAAGTATAGACTTAGCAGTATCAGTCAAGTATTCTTTTGCAATATTATTTACATCTTCCAAGCATGAAGCTGTTGGATCAAGTTTAAAGTTTCCCAATTGTGTATTTATGTCAACTCTATCTAACGTAGCATTTAAGTTAATTCCATCAATAGAGTAACTTACATCCGTTGACGCAAATTCGAGTGTAGACGTAGCAGTAGTAGTCAAGTTTTCTTTTGCAATATCACTTACATTTTCTAAACATGCTGCGTTTGGATCCAATTTAAAATTTCCCAATGGTGCAATTATATCAACCCCAACTAATCCAGCATTTAGGTCAACCCTACCAATAGAATAACTTATGTCTGATGCTGAGAGACCGAGTCCAGACGTAACAACATCAGTCAAGTATCCTTTTGAAATATCATTTACATTTTCTAAACATGATGATGTTGGATCAGGTTTTAAATATTTCAATGGTGTATTTATACCAAATTTATCTAAGCTATTACTTAAGTCAAAACCACCATTAGATGTACCTACATCTGTTAAAGATAGATGACATGTTGATGTGACGATTTCCACGTAGTATTCTTCGGTAATATAATTCAAATCGTCATAGTATCCTGTTGAGTGATTAACATTATCATATTCGTGATCATTTTTGATATCGCTCATTTTGTTCAATCCTGAATAACGCAAGTCATTCACACTTATATTTAACCGTGAAATATAATTTTAAAAAAACATTGGTGGGATAATTCCTTGTAAGTATGATGTCATTACATGCGAAAAGAAATCAATATAAAAGAATTTCTTTAATAGCTATTAAGCTGAGATTTGAGCACAAATAAAATTTTATATTTGCTATCGTAATGGAAATTGTATCGGCAAAAGTCTTCTATCTCTGCAATAAGTGCGTCACACATAGACAAACGGAAGATTTTGGATGACTGTATCGATACAGTCTAAATTATTCAGATGATATCGGATCATTCAATATAGTAGAATATTGATTGCTATGATCTTTGAAGACGACTACTTGAGAGAAAAGAGAAGAACCACACCATTTTTTGCTAGAATTACTTACTTTATAATTTTCGAACAAAGTTGATTAGCCGTATGCGCTGGTTATGTTCCTTTCGAGATAAATCTGAAACGAAAAAAACCAACTCTGCATGTTATATAAAGTACTTCAAATCGGTTTTAAAATTGTTATGACTATGAAACAAGAAGAAATTCTGTTACTAAGGTGTCTTCTGTTCAAGATTTCTATCAATATTCCACTGAGTACAATTGTCGGTTGATTATATTTTCAATTTTGATTATAATGTCTTCAAGTGTCTTGATGCAGATTAAAAGTTATTCGAGTTATTTCGACGTTTGCTTTTCTGAGTATCATTCAGTAGATAAAATTAGAAAGTTGTTCATGTAATTGTATTACTTCTTCAATTGACAAAGATTGCACAATTGAGAAAAATCGTCATTGGCTCTTATGACTTCGAAAACAACTTGACTTGCTTCCATGGATACATTGTACTAGATCGTCCTACGTAATAGACGAGCACCATTATGCATTAATTTACAGTACCGATTAGAATCATGAATGATGATTTATGATGTCTGTTTTCGGTGAAAGAGCTGAAACAACATTAGTCATCATTCAATATATTGATAAAGTGTTATAGGAAAAAACCTGAATAGAATTGTTGATATTGACGACATTGTTGCTATTGAAGAAAATGAATGTATTGGATGCATGATTTCAGTTGTTCATATAGAACTAGGTTACTTGTGATGAAGTACAATACGGAACGTTTCCATTAAAGCGATACAGATGAAAGAAAAGGACGATAAAAATATGGTAGATTTTATATCATTTAAACGAGTAAGATGCACAGATTATATTTACTTTTCAGGTTCAGATATCAAAGAGAGAAATGGAAATACTTTTCAATTCCTAAAAGTCAACAAAATGTGTCATTCTTCATTTTCTTATCGAATTTTCGTGTTGCACATGAAAGTAACATTTCAAGTGTTTTTTGTACAATAACATCGGCTTGCCACAAAAAGAACAATAATAAATAAATCCTTGCATCAATTAAATTCTTTCCTCTCAATAAATGATCCTTATAACACAAAAAAACGACACAGTCATCTTGTCAAATGGGAAGAAGAGATACTACGGTGTGATATGAGTGCAGTTCCTGTGCCTTATCCACATCTTACTTTGTTCAACAAATGCAAAATCTTTGATCCATATTAATTGATCGATATGTTTATGCTGTTAACTTTTGTGTTACACAAAAAGATAAACTCAATCTATATTGAAGAAGTGATTGGGAACATTTTATATTAGCAAGCTTTCAAAAAAATACTTTCTGTTTAATTTTCAGCGAGAATCTTTCATTAAGTGACAAGTGCAAGCATAGATAAAAATTATTCAATTTTATCTGTTTCCTAATTGAGTTTTTCTTTTCATAATTTTTCATTGTTTCAATCAACTATTTCATCTTGGTTATGACATGTCAGTCAACTCATTTGCAATATAGATAAAATTCTATTTGAATGAACTAACTTGCAGATTTGAACTAAAAAGTCAGATGCTCAAAAGTGAAATAATATTTTTTTTTTGATTTCATAACTGATGCTTTCATGACAATTACCTCCCAACACTATCTAGTTAGAACTCTTACTGATTACAAGAACAATATAAAAAGGTGTGAATGTTAATGTGGACATCTTAGGATGTGAGATTGAGAGTGCGTCTGACGATTCTTATTGCATAGATATTCACACTATTTTAGATTTTTTAAAACCTTTAAAGATTTTTTCTGACTATTAAGATTTAGAAAACTTTAAAGATGATTTAAATAAAATTAATCCATTTTAAAATTAAAACTAAGAATATATATTTAAAAATGAAGTGAAGTTATGAATCAAAAAGTATGAAAATTATTTTGAGATTAAACTTTTTTTAATTTATTTTATACGTCTAATCAGATTTTAAATTTGAATGCCTTGATGATGATGATGATGATGATTAAGTGTTGCTACAGTTTTTCCAAAGATTGTTTTTTTTGAGGATCATTCGTTGAACGAAACTAGAAAATTGATCATATCATTTTACAACTTCTTCAATTTCTCTCAATATATATTATCAAACCGAGCTGCATAATGAATAAATCCTATTATGTATCGACTCACAGTACCGAATGAAATCATGAGTGATTTATAATATCTCATTTTGGTTAAAGACTCGAAACATCCTATCGACATCGTTTAGTATGTTGATAAAATTTTATATTCACAAACCTGTATTAAATAGCCGATATTGATCAGACTGTTGCCAGTGAATGCATAGGATATATGATTTCGGTCATTTATACACAATTAAATCCTTTCTCTTGAGGACAATGCAGGATATTTTCTTTAAAGACATGCAGATGAAAGAGAGAGCGAGAGATGGTCAATATAATAGATTTACCATAGCTCAAATCAGAGAGGCGTAGACTATATTTACTTTTCAGGAAAGCATGTGAAATATGTCGATAGGAATGTTCTTAAATCCCCCACTACTTTGGTAAAAGAGAAGTGGATATCATGATTTTTTTCATGCGCATTTTTCTCGTCCATACGATGGAGATATAATAACTTTACTTTTCTCTCTCTCTCTCTCTCTCTTTTATCTACATAGCTGAAAAGTAAATATTTAACATCTTACTTGATAGACAAAACCTAAACCCTTGGCTGAAACAAATACTACGCATCCTTTGTTCAAATTCTTTATAACTTGATTGTCATATCAAATATTTGGACATCAAATACTAAGATTTATATATATTTATATAAGCAACATATTGTCAATCTTTGATTTCAATTTATCGTTGAAAAAACGATTTGTTGCTCTTTGCTCGATTCAAAATCATAGTCAATCAATATTACTTGTTCTGTGCTATCTGAAGAATACATCAAAGATTTTGCTCTGAACACACCAGACACTATGACACAATTTTTTTCGAATTTCTTAAGGATGATATTTCATTATTTGTGAACAAAGATGTCTTGATTCTGAACACTGCTGTCTGTTTCGAACAAAAGAGTAAACAAATGATAAGTTTTTAGGCGAGCTTAGGTAAGAATCTTCTTTTTATCTTCATCTACCCTCTATCAAATAGTTTTGCATGTATTTTTAACAATGGAAATCAAACTTCTTTTGCAAAAATACAAAAAAATTATGTCTTATGAAATTTCCAGGATTCTCAGCATGTGTTGATGCAGCGTGACGTCCGTTGAGTAATACTTTTGTGCTGTTTTTCTTTGTAGATGGGGAAGAATGAATTACCGAAAGCCAACAAAGTACGTCATCTTTCATTTTCTCATCGAATTTTCGCTGCACAAATTAAAGCAGCATTTTCAGCGTCCCTTGTGTAAAAAAATTAGCTTGTCGCAGAAAGAAAACAATGAAAAAGAAAATCCCTGTATCAATAAAAATTTTCCCTCTCTATAAATGATTTGTACAACATAAAAGAGACGGTGTCCCCTCATCAAAGGTCAAGAAAAAGATCCACGGTATTCAGTTTGAATTTGAAAAAATGGATAGAATATTTAAAAACAGTTATGGATGTCGTGCTGAAAATATTAAAAAATTCTCTAAGAACGATATTCAAATACTTTGATGAAAATCGAAAAACAGAAGCGATGTTTAACCCTTTCACGGCCAATGATACAAATATGTACTACTTTTGTTTTCGATTGCAGAACTATAATGAACTAGGACCAATGACTCTGGCAGAAAAAACGATAATACTGCAATGGCCTCGTTGCTTACTTTGTACAGCACGTAGTTATTGTACCATTGGTTTGATGCAAAACTAGGGTATGGACGTGGATGTATATGTGAATTTTTTATTCACATCTAAGAACATCAACATCCTCATGGATGAAAATCTAGATCGTGGTCTATTTGAGTGCATCGTCGGCACCGATAGAACTTAACCATCCAAAATTTGGCCGTTAAAGGGTTAACAACAAGTACGACTTTATTCGTTCTTCCTTTCCCAGTCTATTTCTCCAACATACATTGTCAGCACATAATTTAATACATTGATTTTTCAAATTTTTAACCTAGCTGTGGCATGATAATAATTTCACAGCACTTCCCACTCATTTTTCCACACGTACTTGAATATTCAGCGGTTGATTCTATTATGATCAGAAAGGAAAATATTGCACATAAAAATGTCGAACTGTAAAAGATCAAAAGATAAAAATATCATCCTGCTGATATGTCAAAATTATATAAATTACTCTTTTGTTAAAGATAATAAATTCTATATGTTCATTTCATTTATAGTACTGATATGTATAAGGTTGTGGATGAGAGAACAAGTTTTCATTAAGACACGCACTGTACCAAGTTATCCACATTCCTCGCACCTATATCTAATTCAACTAACACACCTATACTCAGACCCTTATCAGACATAGATTTTCAAACATTTCCAAATAGATTTTGTTTTCTCAAGAGTGGATTGGTTCAATATAATGAAACTTTTCGAGTGTTCATGTTTAGATCACGCTACAAAAAAGAAATTCCATAGGCATATGCGAGTTTCATTCAAAGAATATGAGACATATTTCTAAGAACACTGATATTGATCTTTGAAGAACTTTCA